AAAGCGAAATGTAAGAAAAACTTTTCCATGAGGATACCACGCGTCGAAACTGATGCTCGGGGGCTTGCTAGCCGTTCCGCTTCGCACACCCACGAGGGATTTTATTAAATTCCTCTGTTGAGCAGGCGACTGCGTGAGCGGTTGGGTGATTGATGCAGTGCAATTAGGTTTTTCCTCATTCCTCATGTTTATCATTGTTTTGACGCTATGTGGATCTAAGCAAGAAGATCGAGGGTGACAACGTTTGATCATGGGAAATTCTTGCATTAAACGACATCGGTATGTTGCAAACTTCACATCTGAATATATTCGAAAAATTTTCAAAAACATTCAAGGTATGAGTTCATCCGTGTAATGACAAACAAACAATAAAGACACTATTTATGCATTGACGTATGCTTATTGTGAACTTGGAATCACTATTGATTGACCAAAAATTGAAAATTTCATAAAACTTCATTGTTAGTATGCGATATATATGTGATTTTTTGTTCTAATATTCTTTGATAGTATCCTTTCCCAAAACCATGGCTTTGACACAGTACTTATGCGTTATAAGCCTGCTCATAGGCACTGTACTGTAATAGCATGACTGCATAATACAGGTTAGGGTAAAATCTTGATTGGTGGAAATGTGTGCTCCCGCCTTGATTACTGCTTTCTATTGCTATACCGGCTCATTAATGTGTGCATTGAATTTGATAGGTTGACGAAAAGTGGTAGTTTAAAACCGATGTTAGGCTTAAGCCTACGCCTTATTAACCGAGGCTTGTGTCCTCATCCCACTAAATTAAACCCTGTCGCAGATATTACTGAACGATTTAGGAGATGATGTTGCAAAATATTAACTTCTTAAACTATGTAAAAGCTTGTGTATGAGTATATGTATGTGTAGTTTGTTATCTTTAAATCGCTTAAAATGGGACGACATTTCGAACTATGGTAATACAGTAATGGATTGAAGATCTTGGATAGTTTAATATTTGTACTGCTTCCGGATTTCCTCAACATTCATACCAGGAAAAAATCTCCGAAACTGAAGAGAGGGTACAGATCAATTCTTTACACTCATCATTCGACCTTACTGGCTACAAAGAAGGTTTTTAGTAGTTTACCGGCATTCTTTTGAAAGTTAGAGAGGGTCGGATTGAGAAGATGCCCCGAAGGATGTCTCCTATTTGAATACTTATCGCCGAAACTGTCTAAAAGACTAGAGAGTTGGCGATTCAAAGCTAATCTTGTTTATGTTGGATAAGACACTAACACTTTCGTCTAATCTAATCGCTGAATAAAAAGCCGACTGACGACTCAATATGCCATGATCAATTGCACGCATATGCTCCCAGTTTAATGGAACACAGCAAGTTAATCCGCGCTCATTGAAGAAAACATTAAAGTTGGTTTTATAGAACTAGCAGTATTTATAATTAAGGATAAAGATCACGCTTTCAAAAATAGAGAATAAAAGAAACCATCATTATCCTTTACGTCCGCAATGAAAAGGTGTAGAGTAGTACGGAGTAAATGACAAAACAAGCTTTCAAGGTCTGAAGCATAATTCTTTGAAGATAGATTTTTTAGAAGCATTTTTAAATTCCATATATTCCACCCTTAATAACTAAATGACATTTCCCAACTTTTTATTTTAAGCAGCCAATTTACAGAAAGTGCTCAGCTGTCTACACTGCAGTTGGCTCTTTTCTTTCATAAAAACATCGTCTTCGAAGCTTCGAGAGGTTTAGGGAAAATTGGGAATGTAAAAGGTGCGCCTGCCAATGTGTGTTTGGGTGTGTCCGTCTTATGTACATAGCACGACTTAGTACCAACAACTCCTCATTAATCTTTTTTTAATGTAAATAAAACATTGAAGTAAGTGTAGTAAAACAACTTTCATTTTTTAAAAAAAGAACTCCGGACTTTACATTTTTTATATTTGCGTAGCTGCGTCCTCTAAAGAGTTTCTCTAGACAGATGAGGGTTTAAGAAATATATTGTCAGTCATTACCGTGGAATGTAATAAAAAAAATTGAGAGGGAATTTTCTAGAAATTTAAGTTTTCGTGAAGCTAAAACAAACATGAGGAGTTTTAGAGTTGAGCAGAAGATAAAAAAAGTTAAACAGGCTTGCTAGTGGCTAAAGAGGTTTCATCTTGTGACCATGTTGTTTCTAAAAAGCAGAAAAAATCATAAGTAGTTCACGATTGAAGTAACACTTAAAGCAATTTTGATGACAAGGATTATGAGTGTACGGTCAGATTTGCGTTGATCTACTTTACTTAGCATGTATACTGGATCAAAGGTGTTACGGTACAAAGTGAATAATCAGTGTACGTTATTGATTTATCCTGCTGTTATGGTCAACTATAAACCTCATATTTAGCTACAGATGGTGCCATACAACCGGCTCTAAAGGTCGATCTTAACATCAATAGCAATTTTCCCGCGGTCGCTAGGATTTCACATGACAAGCTCAGGCGAGCATAGATGAGGCTACTGATCGATCGTTATTGCTCACAAGTTTCCGTTGCAAAGCACTATTGTTTTGAGCCCACGAGAATCTCCAAACAATGTCTGGCCTTGCCAAGCTTGCAGCAGGCGAAGGCGCTGGAATGAGTTTGGCGCCAGATGTGGAGGTGCTAAAGGCACGACCGATCGTGATTGGTTACCAGTTGTGGGGTTAAGTGCATTGCCTCGAGTTTTCCTTCGGGCAGTATCAGCCGGGCGGAGGAGAGGCAGTGTATTTTTAGTTGGGCGGACTTGCCTCGAATCGCTCGCAGCCAGCCGCTCCCTCTCTCGGCCATCGCCTCGAGCCTCCTCTTCTCACTCATCACTCTACACCGACACAATCTAGCAACTCAAAGTGCTCGGATCACCTCCTTACCCTACAGGTACTAGCCATGCCTGGAGCGCCTCGCTTCACCCAGAAGCCGTCCATCCAGCAGACACCTACGGTAGGCATACACTTCAACGTACTTCTGTACTGTTACTGTTTCTACTAAGCACATTGTTATATCCTTCTCTTCACTTACCTACTTTCAAGCAAATTTAGTCGCGTTTTCCTGCCTTGCGCATTCATTTCCCCTTACAGTTTCACTTACCAAATATACATCTTTGTTTTCAACATTATTACAGTACAGTTAGCCCAATCAGACCCCATAGTGGGCAAATGTACATATCATAGAGCTAGTGTGATAAATCTGTGTGAGGGGGCGAAAACGCGGCTGCCAACTGTCCCCTCATCGGCCGCTTGCCTGTTTCCTCTTGCGCAACTCGCCAGGCGTTGTAACAATAAAACGGCTATCCGCTGCATGTTTACTTGTTGTCTTCGAGAATTTTCTAGAAGAAAGAATATCATGTGCGTGTGCAACAGCAGACGATCTGTTTAAAAATTATGAAGTTTTTCTGTCTGGCGTAGCCGAGGGGAACAATTTCGTCTAAATATAAATCGAAATTCAATAATAGATTTATGAGAATCTAAGAAAAAGCAGGCCTGCCGACTGTTCCGCAGAACTTTATACCTTATTTTAAATGTGAAATTACGGTCTTCGACCTTTGCTCTTGGTCCTTAAAAGCTCTAGTTGTTGAACATCTACGACTTATGCTCAAAAAAAGATTGACGTCATGACTTTATGATCCACAACAAAC